AGATGTTTGTTAAAAGCAGCAACAGTGTGAGCTTCTCCACATTGCCTTGCCATTAGAGTTTATATTAGCCCCATCTGAATTCCTTAAGGGCTGTTGACTCTTAATGCCCAGTCAGCTCAAGTGTCTGTGAGCCTTCTAGCTATGGTGATTGTTGTGGATTCATCTAATTAATTTTTTATCACTCCAAACATTCTGCAGAGATGGGTAGATGGCAGGCATCAAAATTTTGCTGTGTACTGTACTATGGCTGACACTAGCAGTTCTCAAACTGTGGGTAGGGATCCACTTTTAATGGGCTCACCAGAGCCAGCATTAGATTTGTTGGAACCCAGGGCTGAAGCCTCAGCTGCACTTAGGCAGCAGCCCACTCTTGGGTGCTGCAGAAAATGTTGTCGGAAGGGGGGCTGTGGTCCAATGAAGTTTGAGAACCTGTGGACTAGATAATTCAAATCATTGTCACCTATCAAAAGTTGCCATTTCACCTGGCAATAGAGGAAATTCTGACCATGTGGCACCAGTTAGAATCTGCAGCCTGCTGTGTTAGGGGATGTAGCTGGAAAAAAAAATCATTGTATCTGAACATCAAAGACATTGACAGATTATGATTGAGATTATAATCCACATGGCATCGATTAACGTTTTAGAGATTTTTTATTTATCCTCACTGTGCACTGTAAGGGTATGTCTAAACTACATGGCTTCATCGACGGAGCCTTGTAGATTTGTTTGTTCGGCAAAGGGAAATGAAGCCGCAATTTAAATAATCGCAGCTTCATTTAAATTTAAATGGCTGCTGTGCTGAGCCGACAAACAGCTGATCAGCTGTTTGTCGGCTCAGCACAGCAGCCATTTAAATTTAAATGAAGCTGCGATTATTTAAATTGCGGCTTCATTTCCCTTTGCCGAACAAACAAATCTACAAGGCTCCGTCGATGAAGCCATGTAGTTTAGACATACCCTTACAGTGCACAGTGAGGATAAATAAAAAATCTCTAAAACGTTAATCGATGCCATGTGGATTATAATCTCAATCATAATCTGTCAATGTCTTTGATGTTCAGATACAATGATTTTTTTTTCCAGCTACATCCCCTAACACAGCAGGCTGCAGATTCTAACTGGTGCCACATGGTCAGAATTTCCTCTATTGCCAGGTGAAATTGTTCATTTTAGCCATAAGTGGGTTGTTCTGAGGGTGGCACTGGGGTATGTCTACACAGCAGGGCTAAAGCTGAATTAAGCTACGCAACTTCAGCTGCATCAAGTGCATAGTTTAAGTCAAAACATCTAATTTGGCTTTTGGTGCTGTCTATACAACAGGAAGTTGAAGGAAGAGCACTCTTCCTTCAACTTCCCTTGCTCCTTGTGAAATGAGGGTTACCATTAGTCGGACTAAAGCCCTCTAGCTCGACATTATTTCAAAATCAAGGCCTGTAGTGTAGATGTGCATTTTGTTTTTTTGGAATAACATGAGTAGTTATGAAATGATGATGCTGTGTAGATGTACCCTAAGTTTCATGTAGGAGTGAAACTGGACTACACGCGCAGAGGAGGAAGAGAGAACAAAATAAATGAGATACAGAAGACTATATCAATGGGTATTTTGATCTCAGTTGGAATTTCTCATTTATAGTGTGGTCTGGTTCACTCATGTTTCATATTCTTTATCTTTGGTTATCATATATGTCTCTGCCGCCCCCAGCTCCTCTTCCTTCCATTGTTTTCTCTTACCTTTGTTTTTTCTGTTCTCTTCACCTCAGGCTTTTATCATTTAATATTGTTGATGCAAGTAAGCCATCAGGTGAGAAACTGACAGGTAGAACTTCCTTGAAAGGTGGGTGGCTCCATGTTTTAAATGAGCACCAGAAAACAAACAGTGCCACATACTGATAGAAATGCAGTACTACAGTTACTGTTATAATGAATAGGGGGTGGTTCTTATCCTTTATTATGTACTCAAGTTTTTTTATTTCCTTTTTGATTTTATTCTTTGTTGCTTTGTGTTTCTAGAACTTCAGGCTTCCCTCCTACCAGCTGGCATTGGAATATGTTGACTTGAAGTAAGAGTGAGTGAGTGAGTGAGTGAGTGAGTGAGTGAGTGAGTGAGTGAGTGTGTGTGTGTGTGTGTCTTTATTTAAGAAGGGACAGCAGGGAGAGGCCTGGTTATTGAAAAGGGCCCAGGGCTCTTGGCTGCTGTTGTGGCAGGGGCGGCAGCCAGAACCCCAGGCCCTTTAAACTGCCACTGGAGAGCTGAGCTACACATTGTGTGGCGCTGAAGGCCTGGCTGGGGAGACTAGCCTCAGTCCAGTCCCTTCTACCTGAGGCCCTGCCCCTTCTAAGGGCATGGAGAATCCCCTCCCCCCTCCCCCCTCCCCACAAAAAAAATTGCTCAGGGGTCTGGCAAGTCAGTTGAAAAGGTGGAGGAGGCAGATTGGCTAATATGAAGTGGAAGTAGAACAAAAAGGTATCACAATAATGGTCCTGAATTCCTTGGGTAGGACAGGTCAGGCTAAGACTCTAAGGATAGTAGATGAATAATCTCTGAAATGTTTGGTAAAGTGCATGTCAGATGTAGGACTTGTGTTGTGAACCAAATCACCTTGTAGATAGCACTGGAAATAGAGAAACACTTTATTTACATGATACAAGATATGTATGGCCTTTTTACTGCTCCATGATACCTTGTATGGCCCCCTGCAGAAATAGACCTCAGAGCCAGAAACAGCAGTGCCAATCATTTGAGCTAAAGGAGAATTTCCATTTGCTGTTAATAGTATGGGGCCAATGACACCAATAAAATCATAGAATACTAGGACTGGAAGGGACCTCGAGAGGTCATCGAGTCCAGTCCCCTGCCCTCATGGCA